GGCCTCCCAAAGTGCTGGGATTACAGGCTTGAGCCACCGCGCCCGGCGTAAAGGAGTATTTTTACCATCTCTTTTAATTCTTCATGTATAATTAGGCATGGTCTACATATGCTGTCTCAGAACATAGAACTATGGTAATTTTAGTTTTCTTCTTCATCTCCAGCCTCGTGGCAATACAGCTTTGCTGATAGCTGTACCTACTATGCTTCCCAGTTTTACGCCATATGTGGAAGAGACTGAACAACAGCCAGTAATGTGAGTGTGGTTTTTGGGTATTTTGAAGTGGGAATTATTAAGGGTGGGCAGAGGCACCTGTCCTAGTTCCCAAAGGTATTTTCTTTGTGAAGATGAAAGTAACCAGGCCAGGCACAGTAGCTCACACCTGTAATCCCAGCACTTTGGAAAGGTGAGGCAGGAGGATCCCTTGAGCCTCGGTGTTCAGGACCAGCCTGAGCAACCTAGTGAGACCCTGTCTCTTATTTATTTAAAAAAAGTATCCAGACGAGTTTTGTATATCTTTTATGTTTGTATTCCTTTGAGTATGTTAGGATCAAAAGTCCATTTGTTAATATTTTTATTAAGGAATGAACTTATTAATTAGGTTTATATTTTCATTACTGAACATTGCTTTAGGAAAATTAATGGTAGCTATTGTGGAAGATAGATTGAACATAGATAAATAAGCTATTGAAATAGTTCAAGCAAGGATATTAAGGGGGGTATTTGGGCAAGTCAGTGGTAACGGAAGGGGAAGGGAAGGTGGATGGCAGAGGCTTCAGTGGTAAAGTTAGAAAACTTATCTGATGGGATAATGGGGATGTAGGAAAGATAATGTGATTTAAATGAGATATTCTCCTTTTGTCTTTGATAGTAATGAGAAATTATGATAGCTTTCCCTCTCACCCTGCTTTTTCCTTCTGGACATCATTTTCCTCTTTCTTTCTAATCCTTAGCATTTCTGTTTTTAAGAAAAAGTACAGTAACTGGTGGTTAAATAAACAAGCCAGCTTGAGATTTAGTCTAAAGCTTAACATTGCATAGTTCTAATACTAGGTTGAATTCTGTCCCAGTGCAAGAGTTACCTCATAACTAATTTATAGTTCCCACTACATGCTAGGAAAGCAAAAATAATAATTAAGTTTTGGAGCAAAAATTCTGCCTAATTGCCCAAGACAATAGGAAGGCTATTCTGTTTTGTTTTTGTTTTTTTGAGACAGAGTCTTGCTCTGTTGACAGCAGGCTGGAGTGCAGTGGCACCATCTCGGCTCTCTGCAACCTTGACCTCCTGGTTCAATAGGCATGGCAGCTCACGCTTACCATCCCAGCACTTTGGGAGGCCATAGCAGGAGAATCACTCGAGGCCAAGAGTTCAAGACCAGCCTTGGCAACATAGCAAAAATGTGCCCCTACAAAACAATGTTTTTAATTAGCTGGGCATGGTGGCAGGTGCTTGTAGTCCTAACTACTCAAGTGACTGAAGCTGGAGGATCACTTGAGCACAGGAGTTTGGAGCTGCAGTGAGCTATGATCTTGCCACAGCACTTTGGCCTAGGCAACAGGGCAAGACCTTATCTCTAAAAAATAAATCAATAAATAAATTATAATAATAAAGAAAAATCAGTTTGGCATGGTGGCTCATGCCTGTAATTTCAGCACTTTGTATGCTGAGGTGTAAGAGTTGCTTGAGCCTAGGAATTCAAGACCAGCCTGTGCAACACAGGGAGACCCTATCTCCACAAAAAATTTAAAATTTAGCCAAGTGTGGTGGCTTGCACCTGTGGTCTCAGCTATTTAGGAGACTAAAATCACTTGAGCCCAGGAGTTTGTGGCTGCAGTGAGCCATGACTGCATCACTGCACTCCGGCTTGGGTACAGAGTGAGACCTTGTCTCAAAATAAATAAAATAAAAAAGAAAATCCTATGAGCCTTTATAGAAACCAACAACATACATTTATAGATATCTGGTTTTTCAAATGATTCAAGTCATTTTGTAGAAATATGATATGTTGCCGGGCGTGGTGGCTCACGCCTGTAATCCCAGCACTTTGGGAGGCCGAGGCGGGTGGATCACAAGGTCAAGAGATCGAGACCATCCTGGTCAACATGGTGAAACCCCGTCTCTACTAAAA